ATATATATATATATATATATATATATATATATATACATAAACATATACATATATACATACATACATACACCCCAAAATAGCAAAATATTAAAGTATAAAAAGAAACAGTATATATATAAGGATCTAAGATATATATATACTATATTATGGAGGAGTGGTGGCGCAGAGGTTAGAAGATGGGCTTGTGATCGGAAAGTCGCAGGTTCACCTCCCGGTACCGTCAACGTCAAAATGTGGGTGGAAAAGGTGAAAAACCCACACCTCCCTCCACCCTCATTTGCCCCACTCTGGGCCCCTGAGCAAGGCCCTTAACCCCCACTATCTGCTCCCTAAACAGGTCTCTCTTGAAAATGAGTTCTCGTGGCTCAATGAGACTACCTGGATAAATAAAGGGTAAATGAAAAAAAAAAATACACTGATATACAGTAAACAAACGCTAAACGATACACTAAAAGATCTAAGATTTACGCTAAACATTAATAATGTAAACCAACAACAACAGCAGCTCGAACATGAGTCTTTGGTGAGCAGACAGGTATGCATGAAAACAATCAAAACATAGGTATGAATGGGAAAAGGATGTCGATTCATATTAAAGGGAAAATGTACAAGATGATGGTGCGCCTAGTCCTGCTTTGTGGAGCTGAAGTACAGTACGGACATTAAAGAGAAAGGAAGAGGAACTCCTGAACAGAACAGAAATGCAGATGCTATGTGGGATTCTTAGAGTATCCTTCAAGGATAGACGGCAAAATGACAATATCAGAAAAATGCTTGGCGTGGACTGCATCATGGATAAGATACAGGAATCAAGAACGAGATGGTATGGGCATGTGCAGCGAATGGAAGAGGACAACAAGGTAAAAGGTTATTAAACGCAGAAGATTTTGATCAACGAAGCAGGGTACGGCAGAAGAAGAGGTGGATGGATATGATCCAGCAGGGTATGAAGACACTCCATCTCACAACAGACGATACACAAAACAGAGCAAAATGAGGAGAATCAATGAGGATGATCCTGCATTGAAAGGAGCGGGACCTACAGCTTGAAGGAGAGAGAGAGACAGGTGACAGCCATCTTGGATTATGATATGGCAACCCCAATTATTGAAAGTAACCTTTCATACGTCTAGATGTAGCCACACACCAGAATGGGAGTCCGTACCTCACCTAATTTTCAAGTTTTCACGCTCACAATGCTGATCTGTTTCATGTTGTTGCTGATCTGTTTCATGTTGCTGCTGATCTGTTTCATGTTGCTGCTG